TTTTAGCAAATTGGTGTGTTGCCTAATTTACTGCTAACACGTTTTTTGTTGTTGCTGTTGTTTTGTTTGTCTGTTTGTAAAGGGAAATCAGATTCTCAGCAGCCTTTCCATTGAAGAATACAAGGCAACACTGAAAATGATAAAACAAGCCATCCTTGCAACAGACCTAGCACTATACATAAAGTGAGTCAGAGACAAGTTTGACTGGTAGTCCTAGTTTGATGTTTGGATTGCAAACACATTGTAAAATCTTTTCACTTGTTTTAAAGGAGGAGAGGAGAATTTTTTGAACTTCTAAGGAAAAAGCAGTTTAATTGGGAAGATCCTATGCAGAAGGAGCTATTTTTGTAAGTAAATGCAGAATGATTAAAAAGTTGATTAATATTAGATGTCCAATTTCCCATGCCACGTTGTCAGGAATTGCATTAAAACCAACCAGTCTGCATGCCTGGGGCCTGTACAAACTGGTGCAGGTGATATAAGTCACTTCTAGGGATTGAATTACTAAATTTGCAGCCTTTACAACAAACTGTGTTAAATAGTATGTGTAGTTACAAAAGCGTTTCTATTCCATAGAACTCCTAAATACAATGCTATTTTGCTGTTATATTTAAATGTTTAATTGCTGAAACCACTAACTAAAGATTCAGGACAGACGTTTTGTTTTGAAGCAGATTTCTTACTGGCAGTGGAGAAAAAAAACAAAAAACAAAAAAACAAAGAATATTTAAGAACTGAAAAAACTTTATAAAAAGCTACAGAAAAACATTCATCTAGACTGTCTAAGAAAGGACAGTTGCCCTACTTTAAATTCAGTGTTTTTAAAAACCTGTCTCATTTAGTCATACTGCATTTAATCACCTTTTCCAATTTCAGTTACTGACCTTTGTATTGTCAATGAAAATGGCAGTCCTTGTTAATGACAGAAAGGAATGACAGAATCATAGAACTGTAGAATATTCCAAGCTGGAAGGGACCCACGAGGATCACCAAGTCAAACTCCTGGGTCCATGCAGGTCCACCCAAAAATCATAACTTATGTCTGAGAGTGAGGCACAAACGCTTCTTGAACTCTGAGAGACTGGGGCCATGCCCACCGCCCTGGGGAGCCTGTTCCATGCTCACTGCCCTCTGGTGAAGAATCTTTTACTAACACTCAACCTGACCCTCCCCTGAGAGACCTCCATGCTGTTCCCTCTGGTCCTGTCACTGTCAACAAGGAGCGATCATTGCCTACCTCTCTGCTGCCCTCATAAGAAATTGCAGGCTGCCATGAGGCCACCCCTCAGTCTCCACTGAACAAAAACTGTGACCTCAGCTGTTGTTCACACCTTCCCCTCCAGACCCTTCCCTGTCTTCATGGCCCTCCTTTGTATGTTCTCTAATAGTTTCAGGTCCTTCTTACATTGTGGCACTCAAATCTGCACACAGTGCTTGCTGGTGAGGCTGCACAGAGTAGAGTGGGACAATCCCTTCCCTCACCCAGCTGGCAGTGCTGTGCCTGATGTACCCCACGGTACTGTTGGCCATTTTGACTGCCAGAAATAAATGTGCTATCTGTCCAGTAGCAAACAGAATGAAGTGACTCATTTTATGTGAATCCAACAAAGGAGCTGGTCCAAATTTGTTCATTTCTGTGCGCTCTTTTCAAAGAGGTGGAAGTCTACATCATCAAGTCTTGGATGTCTCTATAACTTTGGTTTAATTTCACTTGTTTTTCTGCCTTTGATTGTGCTTGAAATTGGATATTCTATTTACTAATCACTTGGCTTGGTGGCAACAGAAATTTCACAGTACAATAATTCATAGATTTCTTTGTTGTTTTTTTTTATTTTCTATAGAGCAATGCTGATGACTGCTTGTGATTTATCAGCTATAACCAAACCATGGCCAGTTCAGCAACGGGTATATCCTTAATTTTAAGATTTCTTAAATACAAACTCAGTCCTTCAAAATGCTAAGTGTGGATTGAAGATTTTCTCAGGTCTTTGCAGCAAGATCTATGCATTTAGCTATGTCAGACTGTTATTAATTATCTGAAAGTAAATCAGGAATCTCCGTGTTTGTTTTTTTTCCCCAGCATTTCTGTGTGACTACAAGGTGGTCAGTTGATACAGCACACTGTCTAGTATCAGCTGACCTTTCTCTATGTTTTGATTGTTCTAGCTGTTATCAATGGTAAGGCACTTTGCTTTGTCAGACTACATATCAGCACATGCAGGTGTATCTTTTGTGAACAGATGTATATGTCAATGAATCTAAAAGCTAGAGTTTAAATGGGAGAGTCTTATGGATGTTGATCCCAATCTGGTATATCCTAAGGCGGCACAGGAATTTCAGGAAATGGTTTTGATTGTAGGTAGCAAGCAAATTTTTATAGCTCTCAATGTCTGAAATCTCTTACAGATTGCTGAGCTTGTAGCTACTGAGTTCTTTGATCAGGGAGATAAAGAGCGGAAGGAACTCAACATAGAACCAACAGTGAGTAGAAGAATCGTGCAGAATCATCTCTTTTAAAATGGCTTCCATAACAGCTTTATGGAATCTAAAACATTCCTTTCAAAAGCCAGCTTTTCTTTCCGTGATCAGATTCTAGAACCAACTCCTTCCCTGTCTTCCTAGCAGTCAGTTTTCTTTTGGGGTTACCAGACACCAACACTGTCACTGTTCTGAGCCAGAAGAAAAGACAGCATTATATCTTCTAAATCAGTATTATTAAATTGTCTAGGAAATGTATTCCTGAAGTGGTGCATAATTGCAGCCTATGCTAAATAAGTAAGCTTGTCTATTCCCCTAATTCGATCAAGCCCAAAGACAACCTTTAAAGTCTGCTAGTCATGCAGACAAATTACCTGCGTTATAACACATGTACCAATACCCTGCTGTGTTGAGATTGCTGTGCTTTCTGAGGTGCTGTCTTTTAATTCTGACCCCTTTGTTTTTGTTTCAACTTTAAATGCATTTAAACATTGAGCTTATTTATTTATTTGCAGGATCTAATGAACAGAGAGAAGAAAAACAAAATTCCAAGCATGCAGGTTGGATTCATTGATGCTGTTTGCTTGCAGCTGTATGAGGTATGGTGCCTGAAAAGAACTGCAAATATCTAAAACCAGAACTGTTCAGTGTAGTTTTCAGTATTTTTAAATTTCTAATTTAAAATTAGAACAAAATTTGGTTTTAGTATCCTATTTTAAAAGATTTTTTTTTCATGTATTCTATATGTTTTGTCATTTAGTTGTAGAAAGGATTATTTTAGCATTAATTGTATGTTTGGCTGATCAATGTATTTTTTTATACCATTTTTTAAAATCAGTGGTAATTGCTGTGTTCTGTGCACTGGGTATTAGGTCCCTGGGTTATGTTTTAGATTCTGCCAGTGAGATGCTGTGATCATTAGGGAAAGTCACAGACACATAATGCTTTGCTATCTACTTAAAGAATGGTATCCACATATTGCATTATGAAGAGTGATGTTTAAGAAAGTTCTATAGCATTCAGAATTCTTAATGCAAAAGGTAATAAAGCTACATATTGGAAATTTACGTGGGTTTAAAACTTCCCCTCCTTTTCTTTTCTCTCTTGTGGGACTTAAAAGCAGTGCATGAGAGCATTCATTGAAACTTTTTTCTTTCTGGTCACAAAATGCATACAGAAATACTTGGTCAGATAAAGTATGAAACAAAACATAATAATTCCTGACTTTTTTAAACTGGTAAAGCACCAGGGTGAAAGCCTGTTCACTGAGACTGTACAAGTATTTTATGGGAACTAAGGCGAGAAAAAGGAGAAGTACAGACAGCCTCACTCTTAGCCTAGTATTCCAATGGGAGAAACAAATCAATTATTCTTTTCCATCTCACATCCTTCTAAAAAGAATCCACATCCACCAGTTGGAAGAAAACAAAGGTAGTGGAAGAAGGGAACTACTAGCTGCCCTTGAAACTTGCATGTCTCTGCACTGTAAAAACTTTGTCAGGAAAATAAGGCAGCCTTTGATGAGAAGTTGAAAAGGTAGGCCACTGAAAGAAGTCTGAGTAGCTGTGGAAAACGTATAGAGTATACAAACAGAAAATTGTTTGAACAGAAAATCTAAACAGGTTTGAATGTCCACAGCTCCAGAGACTGAACTACTGTACTTTATTTGCTGGGACAGCTTTACCTTCTCATTTATGAAAAGACCAGAAAACTTTCAAAAACTTACATTTCTGTAACAGTAGTCCAAATTGAACCCAGCATTTTACAGTTCCCATAAAGAAATGAGGTGTGTGAATAATTTCTAGCTATTTAGCTCCTGTTTTGTAACTGCAGCTTAGTTATGCTGCAGTGAAGACAAACCAATTCCTGGCTAGCAGCCAAGTGCACCTACATTTTTTTTGAGTCTTCTCCCTTCTCTTTATCCAGGGAAGAAAGAAGATGCTGTCCCTGTAGGAGGGGCTATAAGCAGCATCTTTCTGTTCAGAATATGTTGCCTCTTACATCTCTCAGAGTATCACTCCTATTTTTCACTCTGTCTCAATCTGACTTGACCTGTAATGGCACATAGCAAGCTAGTAGTGTCTGGGACTTTTATATAGACTCAGAATATGCCAGCACATGTCCTAACCTGAAAGAAAAGTGAGCAAGACTGATGTACATGGGCAGAGAGGATTGAAAAGAACGGGGAGCCTATGAGAAAGTGACAAAACTAGTGACTAATAATTACAAGGGAGGGGCTATGGTGTGCCCTAATGCAATGTACCTAAGTCTAGTACAGGTAGGGGATACCAGGCCCTTACACGGAGTCCTTTTCTTCAATGGTAAAACATATAAACTATGTTACTTTGAAGAAGAACAAGCACACATTTCACTCTTAAGTGTTCTAATGCTAAACAGCAAATAATAAGCAGCGTTGTAACTACAGCTTTTTCACTATTCCTTAGCATTGATCCAGCCAGTAGGAACTTAACAGACAATGCAGAGATGAGTGCCCAGTGAAGCACTACATGTATGTGACTTACCATGGTATTCAGAATAGTTCTATTCCCAGTGAACTGATGGTGTGTGGCTTGTTTTAGAGAGATAGCCAGTGGAGTTAAACCGAGTGATCTGAATATCCTCCCTTTAAGTTCAGAAATCTGAAAGAAAAAAAAAAAATTGTATTTTACTTCCAATTTTTAATTGAAAAAAGTGTTACATTTAGCAGTTTTAATGCTACTTAGATGTGCTCACATAAATAAAACATGAATACTCAATATTTGACAGCCCCACTCTTCCTATAGAGGTGTAAATCAAGAATAATTCAGTTAGGCCTATCAGAACTAATGATGCTGCCTAGAAAGCAAAAAAGAATTATGAAGATTTATACAAGCTGACAATTCAGTAAAGTACCTATATAAAATTGTTCCTAAGTTACAGAAGAGTTAGATATCACTACCTCATGTTATTTGAATAAGACATAAGTTCCAGGTGAAATTCTGACTTTTGAAATATATATAATAGCAGCAGTGAGGCCACGACTTTTCTCTGTGTACTTTGCAGTTGGTCATGGTAGTTCCAGAATCAGTAGGCTCACTCTTGCCCATGGATCTTGCTGTCCAGCACTGTCTGAACTATCAAACTCCCACTTCACACTTCTAAATACTGTGACTTCATTCCAAATGTCAACAGAATCCTTAATGCAAGTTTCTGTCATTATTGTGTGAGGATACATATACATCACTTTCATCAGGAAAAAAAAAATACAAAGATGCTTATTGATCTGTTTAATTTCCAATTCAGTTTTATTTCAGTCTGCTGTAGTACCGCTGCCACATCATGAAAAAACAGACTTCAGTTACAGCTGTCCTTGAAGAGGCATCAAGTGTCAAATGTAATTTAATTATCAGGTGCTAGTTGTCTTGAATTCAAATATTTCTGGAAGAATTCTGAATCACTTGTGACATTGTCAAATGGGTCACATTGACTATAAGTGCTGATTACCCTTCCAAGGTCATCTTTTTGATCAGCGCTGCCACATATAGAAAGAACTGGCTTACAAACAAAGTCTGTGCATACTACCTCACTAGGAATCCTGGATAGGTCACTTGTGCATAAATCTATGTTGCAAATTCTTTTTTTTTTTTTTTCAAGTATTGATAGACCTCATATGTCAGTAATTTTCATCTCTTTAATATTCACTTTTTAAGAACACTTGTTTTGTTGTTACATATAAACTGTTTTACATGTTTTACAATTTATTTCAGGCCCTAACACATGTATCAGAGGCCTGCTACCCTTTACTGGATGGCTGTAGAAAAAATAGGCAGAAATGGCAATCCTTAGCTGAACAACAAGAGAAGAATCTGATTAATGGAGAAAGCAATCAAGCCAAACGGAACTGAGATGCCGATTTAAAAACCACAAGCTTAAGTTCACACAGAAGACGTAGTAATAGGGAAGTACTGCATTCTACTAAACACTGTATGGATTTGGATTCTGTTTTTGCCACTGCTGTATTGTTTTTCCACATTTCAATATATAGCATGACGGTGTATATGCCAAGACCATATAATTCTTCTATTACATCTAATGAGATGGAAAAAGATCTGCAGTTAGTTTATACTAACCTACTCCATAGAAGGTATGAGTGCAGTTTACTCGAGTGTCCCTGAGAGCCTAATTACTTCATAGATGTATATATAGTTGTTCAGTGATTATGTTGTGGCCAGTATCTTAAAGACTACTGCATTTCGCACCTTTTTGCCTCTTTCAGTCTTGCTGTGTTAGGCTGTAAAAGAAATGCACAGTCTTGCCTGTTATCTTCCCAGAGGTTTAGAAGAAAAACTGGGACTAATGCTGGCAAGCCTGATCCAGCATCTACTATACCAACCTCTTCCAGAAAACAGAACTGGGCTTTGAAATGGAGAAGCCCCAGAATTTTGTACCCAGTAGCTTTTTCATATCATAAGAATGTCTTAGCAATGTGTTACATTTAAAAAAAACCCTGTGAGTTATGAGGCAATGGGGGGCTTAGGAGTTTCGTGGTACAGGTGTCATAATTACCCACAGATAATGGAAATTGCTTGAAGACTGATGAAATACATCACAACGTAGCTGACAGGCTGCGTGCCTTGGAAGAATGACCGCAAGAAGCAGAGAAATTGAAACTAAACAAGATATTTCTGTATGCTCATTTTAACTTCATTTTGAAGTTGAATTTAACATTGTCTTAACAAATAAACTGAATCACAGGCGGGAAAGGAGAAGAAATGTGACTGCAAGAGCAAGGGATGAAAATCCAAATCGGAACGATGCAGGAATGGCATGCTTCCAGTAACCATCAGTGGCCGGTGCTATTAATGACCATCAATAGGCCAGTGTTGTTATGAAATGGCTATGACCACTTTGAAGAAAGTATTATGTTAACATATTTTTAAAAATATTTTTAGCACTCGTTAGCGTTAAAAATTATCTATCATTATGTCTTAAAGGAATATGAAAAAAGAATACCGAAAGCAAAAATAGCCCAGGATGCTACAGGGATTTACTGTTTGTACATAAGGATCAACATTCAGCAAACTAAGAATCAATTAGCTTGCACTAGGAAAAGAAGGCATTGATATTTCATTCAAACAAAGATGATTAATAAAAATGATTTTGAACTCATCACTGGGAGCCAATTCACGAAAATATACACATAAAACAGTCAAAAAAATAAAGCAGTACAAGGAGAGTACAATTTCATTGAGCAGGATAAAAAAATTAATGTCAGCATTCTTAGACTGGTGAGCAGTAATTTCAGTTACACAGAGACAGAAAATGTTGATTTTTTTTTTTTTTAATCTTTAGCAATGAGGCGGTAGTTAAAATTAATAAAAGTAATACATTTGGGATTATACTTTCAAATCCAGGAGTTAGTTTGTATTGCAGTAATCCAGAAAATTCTAGTTGAAAACTGCAATGCATTTAGTCTTCCCAGGAGATTATCAATCCCACCTGCAGTAGCCAGTCAGAAGGACACTGAAAAGGAGCTCTTTTTGTCAGTCTCTGCATTTAGATAACAACATCAGAAGCTAACAAAAAATGAAGAAAGTGTTTCAAAATGTTCCACAGAACTGTTTTTCATGGTCACTTTTTTTTTTTTTTTTAATGTAGACTAAGGAATTCTGACAGTTTGCAGCATTTCTGCCAACATCTATCATTTGTTACTGATTACATCCTATCTCAAATTTCTCTTATGTCTACCAGTAATAATTTATTGCAGCTGAATGTGAAAGTATTTTTTCTATAAAAGTATTTCTCCTATGAGGTTTTTTGTTTTTTTTTTTTTCCCAGGTTTTCAGAAACAACAAAAAAAAAGTATGGAATTCAACAATAATTAAGGTTTCTAGAGCTATTTTGAATTTGTATCTACACATATATATTTATATGCATACATGGCACAATATGTGTTTGCAACAGATCATGGCTCTGCACAAAAACTACAGCAGCCTGCCTTTCCCAACCTTCCAGCTCAAAAAAGGAAAAAAACCAAAGCTTTTAGGTACTTTTTGATAAATAGGAATTTTGCTTCATGATTTGCATAGTATATTCTTTTCCTTGAATGTCTGAGATACTAAAATGTGTCAACTATAAAGTACATATTTAATATAAATATGAACAAAATGTATGTATATAAAGGTGTATTCTTGTTGGTATGGTTGAGACTAGCAATTCATGGAGACAGCACAACTGTGGTGATACTACAGTGTAGTGACCAATCATTTACATTAAGATTCCTGTAACTATACTTCTCTGCTATATTGTGTGTTCAACAAAACTTTACTGACATTAACTTATAAATATTAGAAAAGAATGCTGGATTCTTACCTTGGACTTGAAAAAACATGCATGACAATCTGCAATTCTTCAAAGGTTCACTTAAAATGAACAAAGCTATACAGTATGTGCATACATGTAATTACATATTTGTACACATTTATCATACCAAATCTCTTCCACTACCAAGATTCAACTACAGAAATATAGTTCCTAGTGATTAAACTATTTAAATGTCACAACATGTCTGTATCTGTATATATTTCTACCAAGAAAAAAAAAAAAGCCATTAAACTACTGGTTTAAGAATTTTAAAAGCATATTTTGCTGTTGTTTCATGAAAAATCAGACATCTGTGTGAAGGCAAAGGGTGCCAGTCTTGTTTCATAGCTCTGTGTGTATTGTTTCAAGAAAATTTTTCTTTTATTTCATAATGTAGGTAGATGAAAATATGAGAAAGAAAAAAAATAAAACAGGCTGTTTCTTACTTAAATTCATTGCCTTCCAGAATTCGACATTTTCATACTCAGCCATTCCATACTTTACAGCCATGCTGCTGTTAAGTTACATGTATCTAATAATTTTAGTCAGGTCTCAACCATTTACTGCTCTATCTTAAATCGTCTAGCTAAGGAAATCTAGAGGAAGATGCAAGATACAAGCAGAAACTGAGTGCATCACTTTGTCAATTCAGTTTTAGGTCTGTTAAAGCCATTGTGAAATTTGGTATTTAAGTTGTACAAAAGTTGTCCCATTAGTTTTTAGTACTTGTCTCAATAGAAACATCTAAGACTTGTTCTCAGATATACACATTTTCTTTTGAAGTCACTTCACAGCACAGTTTAATGCTTTAAGTACAGTTCTCTTTCTGGTTTTGTCCCCTTTCTGAAAAAAATAACTTGTCTTGTTAATGTATACAGAATTACTCATTAACCCTAGCTCTTCTATAAAAAACAAGGCTCTTACACTGTAGGTAGTACTTTTCCAAGAAGTTATCCACACACCCAATATTAGCTGTAGAATATAGGTATGTAGGTTTTCTTTAATCTCAGTAAGAAAGGAGAGAAAAGTAATCTTGATTTTGGCAATTGTATTGATTTTTAATTAGTAGCAGTTTAAATCATTCTCAGATGTGCACAGAATGCAAGCACAAGCAGACTAGTGATAAAAGTGAGTAATCTATTCCATCAATGACCAGCTGATCTCTCTTTACAAGAGAGAGCTGAAGCCTGATAGAGGCATCATCTTCCGCCAGCTGGGTGTATGTAAAGGTAAGTTTTCAAACTGCAGTACAATGCATTTTAATCTGGTAGTGCTGTGAACTGATGCTTCAAAACTG